AAAAAAAAAAAAAAAAACTCCCTAAAATAAGAAGAAGCATTCCCGAGTCTTTGGGTCTGACAAACTCTCCGACGATTTTTCCCTGGACTTCCGGCGAGCTATCTCTCACCCTTCGCCCTCTACTTTCTAAAAAAGAATTCCGACCAAAGTCGCACAAAGCTAATTTTTTTTAATTGTTTATTTCACCGAAACAGGTGAATCTCAAAAATCCCTGTTTACGACGTCGTTTTGAGGAATTCGTCGTTGTCGGACGAGATGTGCCGCCAAAATTCATGCGTGCATTTATCGGTGGAAGAGGCGGTCGCCGTCGAAGAGACTCTTCTCGTTTATTGCAAGCCTGTTGAGCTCTACAATATTCTCCGTTGCCGTGCCTCAGACAACGTAATTAATTTTTCTTATTATTGCTCGTTTTTTTTTTTTTTTTGTGTTCTTTTGGATCGAAGTTTCTGTAATTTGTGGTAAAGGTTTGTTTTTGGAAGTGTGAATTTGGTGTTCGTACTATTATTATATATAGGATTTCAATAATTTAAATTTGTGTTTGAAGTTTGGTTTTTCTGGTGGTTTTAAATTGGGTCACACAAAAAAAAAAAAGGAAAAAATAAGAGGTATTTTCTGTAATTTGGTTCCTTACAATGAAAATGTTGTGGTAAAGATTTGTTTTTGATAGTGTGAATTTGGTGGTTGTACGATTATAGGATTTTAATAATTTAAGTTTGTTTTTGAAGTTTGGTTTTCTGGAGTAGAAAACTTAGCTTCGAATTGGGTCTCACAAAAAAGAAGGAAAAAAAAGAGAGGATTTTTCTTTATTCATCAACACAACATCATTTTGCGTTTAATTCAGAAGATTTCTATCTGTAACAGCCTTCGTTTCTTCGAAGATGTTTGAATTACAAAATCCAAGCAAGGCGTAAAAGGAGGTATTTGCTTTATCTTAAATACATATTTTACGGTTGTATCTTATTCATTGTTATTATTATTAGGCAAAGGATCTTACACCGTAACATTTAGGGCCGTTTGGGAATTGTATTTGAACCATCATTTGGGTTTTGATTCAAATTCTTTGTGAGAGAACTATTGGCGGGAATTTTTTTGCAAATTCTTCGTGAGAGGAAAACACGGTAGCAGAATCATGTTTGAGTTTTGATTATATGTACCAAACAACCCAGTAGAAGTGGTTGGTGTAACATGACATGCATTCTACGTAACAATGATGTTGGGATGGACTGAAGGTGTGACAGCGAGAATTTTAATTTATCTCAAACTTGTGTTACAGCTATTCAAAATCATTGTTGCATAGAGTAAATGCCATGTTATGTTTCCACTTTTATGTTATGGCATAGGACAATTCTTCTCAAACGACCGAAGTCAAATTATTAGAATATTGTTAATTTGGCTTGACCCCTCCTTGCGGTACTCTTCTAATGATTGGTTTTCATACTTGTTGGGCTTTTAATATATCTTTTGCTACTTACTATTTCGTAGGTTGAGCAGTGGAACTGTAATATTTAACTATAAGGACTGTAACAATATGTTACGAAAGACTGAAGGTATGAAGAGTCTTTTTCCTCACAATGTCTAACATCTTTGTTTTTCTGCATTACTGAATATTGACTAAACTTACTTGTGTATGAAGTGCTCCCATACGAACAAATTACTTATTTGTTTCCCTCTTTTGGCCCCTTAGGATATATTTTATGAAACTATTTATGTTTTAGTAAGTCTGAACAATGTGGGTGTTGTCTATCAACCCCAAGGTCTTCGGTGGAGGGAGTAAGAGTTTGGTTGCTGGTAAAATGTATTGTGGTAGAATAATTTGGTTAAGTTAGAAAAAAAAGTCGAACCTTTGGTGTATCAACTTGGTTTAATTGTGAGGGTACACTAGGACTTAAGTTGTAAACTTTGACTTGAGTGGAGAACACACATGCGACAGAGTTATGATATCAAGACTTATATTGCTATGTAACCAAAAATAGCATTGCTATCAATAATGTTTCAGTTGCATCTTTTGAGTTTTGTGTAAATCTTGAATGGGAGACCACTTACTTGGTTGATTCCTTGATGAGCTGAGAGTAATGTTGGTTTCAAGTAATGACAATTTCTAAAGATTTTAATACATACATTACTGTTTTGCTGTTTTCTTTTTCTTTTTTCTTTTCTTTTTTTTTTTTGTACTTTCTATTAATTGACATACTTGGATTTCGGACTTGATAACATTTTTATACTAACCATAACATGAATATGTTTAAAATACAGTTACTGAAGACTTTTCTTGTCCGTTTTGCTTGATGCAATGTGCAAGCTTTAAGGTATTTTCAAATCTGAGATTTTTCTAGTTCACAACTTAAAAGGTTAGAGGCTGACTTGTTTGTTGCTTAAAATGTTGTCGTGCCGGTTGCTTGTATTTAAATTCTTTTATTCAGAAAAGTACTGTTTATTCACTCACCATACTCTCTTTATTCTTCAGAATTTCATTTTTGTGACTCCTGTATTTTCCCCTTTGTCATTTATAGACAATTTGTTGTCCATTGTAAATTCTCGTTACTTGTTTAGCATGATGTTGAAGGAAAACTTGTTCTTTTCCTTGCAGGGTTTGCGTTTTCACTTGTGCTCTTCACATGACCTTTTCAACTTTGAGTTTTGGGTTTGTAATTTTAAGATCAATTTACTGTTTTTTTCATCATTTTTTTTTGGTTGAAGGCTAGTCAAGAAACATTTATTTTGTAGGTGACTGAAGAGTATCAAGCAGTGAACGTTTCTGTGAACATTGATGTGTTATCTGAGGTGAGTACTCAGTACTTTATTCTTATTAGTCCAAGAAGATACATTTGTTGTGGGTTAAAATATATAGAATGTCTAACGTGGACAAAACAACTTGTACGAAACCAAGCATTCGTTATAAATTCTAACATGAAATCTTTAATCAAGGTTCTCTTGTTCAGGGACCCTTTAGATGTGGGTCCTATACTGTCTCCCTTCTATGTTTCTATGGATAATGACCGTGAGAAATTTCAACTTCCTTTAGTATGTATGCTTCCCGTCATTTCTTGAGATGTGCCCTCTAGTTTTTCAGTTTCGCTTGCTAGTATTGGTCCCGTGTACTGTTGTACTGAATTAGAAACACTTCCAATTTTATAATTCACAAGTCACCTATTTTTTCTCTCTTATTTTTCAATTTTATCGCTTATCCTGTCTTGGTGATATTTATACGCAGACTATAGCAGACAGAGCAGTCCCACAACTACAAACATTCTTCTTATGGTTGGTTTCAAATCTCTGGGTACAGCATACGGCTTTGGATGCTATCCTATATGTTCTTTGTTCAGTTACTAAAAGAGATAGTTAAAAATTCTGAGAGTTCATGAAGAGAAACAAATCATTTGTGCAGTTCAAGACCACGAAAGCGCCGGCGAACGAACCTTGTTCAAAATGAAACGACTGCTGATGTGCAATTCTTGGAGTTGGACTCGCCTAGACTTGCTAGTGAAGGCATACTCAGGGGACTTGTGGAGAACGGTGGTAACTATCTTTTCTGATGCATCCTCAGGGTTAGGTCGAGTTTAGTTCATAGTTAGGATAGCCTGACCTTGGAAGAAACTATTTTTAAGATCTTTGATTTATTTTAAAAACAAAAGCAGATGTCTTTGCCAATAACCCACTTTTGATACATTTTCTTGTCCCTCTGATAAAAGTTTAGAATGGTTTTGACTAGTTGTTGAGATAGATGAACAATCAGATGTCTTTTCTAGTAGACTTAAATATAACTTCTTTCCAGACTCTCTACCATGTAAAGGTGAAAATTTTTCAAAGCCATTTTGTGGCGAGAAAGATATGCAGAATGGGAGACGAGGCTGGGAAAATTATGGTTTTGATTGTCCAAGTTCCATTGAGTGCATAGAACGTGTTGCATCAAGTTCCAATGTTCTGGGCATCACAATCGCCATGGCGCAAACGTCTGCTGACCTTGATTCTGTCAAACTTCTTTCGGGAATTGATCCTCCCCTCCCTCCTAAAACTAAGAAGACAATGGAGCGATCAGACCCTAAAAAGTATGTTAAGAAATGCTATATTTTGCTAGTTATATACATTGTATTCCAGATACTTTTCTCAACTTTTCTTGTATTTTTATTTTTCTTTCAAATTACTTCGTTTCCAATGTAGATAGCAACCGTGTGCTAGGTTGTATATATGCTAGCATATGATTTGTCTTACAAATGGGTCAAGATGGCTCTCTCATCTACAAAAGAATCTCGCTGGCATTTAAATGCCCTTCACCCCCTATTTTGTCGCACTCAATTGCAGTTTTTAGTTACCAATCAGAAGTATTATTATATATTTTCTTAATTTAAATAGGTAATTAGTTTCAGTAGCATCCCGAGACTAGATTACACCAAAGTCTACCTGACGGTAGGGTTAAATAACTTTTCTGGTGATGAACTGGTTCATGGCCACAAAACTAAAACAGATGAGAATTTTATATATTAGACTACACATCTGGTGAATACTGGTTTTGAAGGAGTTATATAAATGTATTTTATTTAGAGTAGTGAAAGAATGTGCAGAAGTCTACAAGCTGGACTTAAAATCAGAAATCATGAAAAGATGTGTAATATCCTCAACTTTGATCAGAAAGGTCGGAAGTTGCATGCATTTTGTAATTTCCACCTTATTCCACTGATAGTCATTATGTGAATTATCTTCTAGTTTTGGTATCAACTTTTTGCCAAGAAAAAAAATTAAACGTTACTTTTTAAGTTGTGTTTAGTGCAAAATCTTGCTTCCTTGACCTTGAGATTGCTATTCTTTCAGGAATATAAATCTTTGAGGTTTTCCATTCTTATATTTTTCTGAACTTTGTACAGCCGAGCACTCCTACAGAAACGACAGTTCTATCACTCTCATAGAGTTCAGGTGATTTCGACCTTCAGATCTGTTTGACAATTTCTTTCTTCCTCAATCTACTTAAGACTTGTGTTTCTGCTTATTTATTGCTTATCTTTACTGTTTTCGATTCAATGTTTGGTTTCTTTATAAAGCTTTCATTTAACTCGAGGCTTAATAGAAAATCTTAATCATTTTTTTTAAATGAAATCTTAATCATTAATAGAAAATCTTAATCATTTTTTTTAATGAAATCTTAATCATTTTTTTGAAGTGTAATCATCATTTAATTGTACTTAGTTTTGGATAATAATGTTTATATTGCACTTAGTTTTGGTTGTCATTTTTCTGGTTTTCTTCCTTTTCTTTAAAAAACTTGTAAATAAAGTAAACTACTAAACTTGAGATGCTTGTCAAACATGTCTGATATGTGGATTTCGGTCCCCAATTTGTGCTATATTCAATTTATTTCGTTGTTATTTTTCTTTCGTTGTGACCTGAATTAACTAAATATTCTGTTTTTCTCTCTCGTTTATTAAGCCTATGGCATTAGAGCAAGTGCTTTCAGATCGAGATAGCGAAGATGAAGTTGATGATGACATTGCAGATCTTGAAGATACAAGGGTATGCTTGATGAATATGCTACACTCTTTTAGCATCTTCTTCTAAATTGAAATTCTTGTCCCAATAACAGAACACGCTTTTCTACCGGACTATTCATCTCATATACTAAACATTTAAACAGAGTCGGCGCGTGATTCTTGCTTCCCCCACCCAAAAAAAAAAAAAAAAAACTTTGTATCCTTAGTCAGCACTAAAAAGCAATGCCGTACAATGGAAAAAAATCATAACAAATTCTTATACATGTGTCCTGGGCCACCCATTTGATTAAGCCTTAGGTTCAACTGCTTTAGGCAATCACTTAAGAAGAAATGAAAAGTGAGGTGCTCTTATGGAATATATGTGAACGACTTCAATTAAACATTTGTTTAACGAATATTTAATGGATTATGTATCTTTCTCTTCTTGCTTCCTTCGAGCAAAGTTTATGTGAGTTTGGAAATCTAAGTTGCTTCTTGAAATTCAATTATTTTCTATGGTAATATAACATTTTTTCGAGGATCTTATATGAAATTCTGCACAGTGCATAGTGAACCAAACAGAATAATTCATATCCCTCATGGGTACGATAATGCATTTTGGATCATATCCATAGTTTTATTTCAGTGTTAATTCTTTGCATTGCATGTCAGGAACACTCCGCAGAGTGGAAATGAGGGTGATTATGATTACCTGAAAATTTCTCTTTAATTGAGAACAACTAGCACATTTGGATAACTTTAATATATGAGCATTATGCCAGGCTCGTAAAGTTCTGTTCTCTTGACCCACCAAATAGTAATTTTAGTGTCACTTATAGGGGTAAAAAAGGTCCATCAAATAGTAATTTGATGTGAAGTCTTTTACTTTTGGTCGGTTTTTAAAGGTGAAGGAAATTTGATTTTAGGTCCTTTTTTATTGATGGATCTTGTTGGTTCCCATCTAAATTCTAACCTCCAGTTGCACTTTCAAATGAGATACTTCACATATCCTATTTTTAACGACTTGAGAACTAATATCAAAGTGTTGTCTTCTCAGATGCTTGATGATTTTGTGGATGTTACCAAAGATGAAAAGCAACTAATGCATCTTTGGAACTCATTTGTGAGAAAGCAAAGGTATCTCTTGCCACTTGGTGCTCTCTTCTTTTATCTTATTCTATTCCTGTTTCTTTGCTAGCCTCTCTTCTTCTGGTTACCCTTATGGATATGAAACTATTTAGATAAAACCGCGGAGTGTTTCAATCACCGAATTCCAATTCTTAACATCTTTTATGCTAATCTTTGGGACTTTCATTGTGGCAGGGTGTTGGCAGATGGTCATATTCCCTGGGCGTGTGAAGCATTCTCAAAACTTCATGGACAGGAGCTCATCTCATCTCGACCTCTTTTTTGGTATTGTTGCCACTTGACTTTTTGCCCATTCATTAAAACGTCACATCACTTTTACTATTAAACTTGCCACCAGAAAATATGGTACCCCAGGATTTAGATATATTTCCTACATTGAACTTCTTGGTATTATAGTTTGGACTCAATGAGTACCTTTTCGACTATTGCCATGAATTTTTCACTTTGTTCTTTGTCCTTCTTAGTTTTATGGTCGATGAGGTTCTTCATGACAAAATAGTAGTCATATCCTGGCTGTGCAACACATTATTTATTCAATATAGCAATCATTTTCTAGAAAGTTACTAATCCTAAAAAAAAGGTTTCTTGGGAAAATTTTTCACTCTGCTCACTCCACTGCTCACTCCACTATCCACGAGTTGCAAGAATTCTGTATCTGTGTGGTGGTCTGTCCGTTCTTGTGAACTGTGTTAAGTCAAGAATGAACAGTTTATTAACTCGGGTATTTAGCTTGTATTTCGCGTATCAAAGGACTACTAAAGAACACTCTTCACTATGAATAAGCCGCGCCTTTCTTTCAAAAGCTTGCTCAATCCATAAATCATATTTGAGAGCCTATTCCTATTTTATTTGTTCCAGAGGAAATTATCCTCGGTGCCTAGTCACTTTTAACTTCTAATTTGTATCTGTTGACTTGTAAATGAGTTGTAAATAGATTAGGAGAATTAGTTAGAAATCCCTTGATTTTTGGGATTCGGATTAGGCAGTTTCCTGATTTAGGAATAATTTAGTTTCCTATTCTTTCTCTTGTAAGTTGCTATATAATACCGTGTAACATGATTATTCATAATAACAGAAAATCAGAGTTCTTTTTTGTGACATGGTATTAAAGCCCTAGGGCTTTTTCTTTTCTGGGATTTCTTTCTCTTCTCAAGTAGCCTTCATTACTGTGTGTCTGGGTTCTTTTTTTTCTGTGTATTCCAGCCTTCATCGCTGCCATTCCTTCTTATTTTCCCTTCAATAATCCCTGTTCGGGCAGCCTTAATTGCTGCGATTTAGCCTTCATCGCTGCCATTCTGTATTATTCTTCCTTTGATAATCCCTGTTTGGGCAGCATTAACTGCTGTGTTTTGTTCTTCATCATGTCAACCTCAGAAACCACCATCTCTAGCAACCCATCCGAAGAATCCGATTATGTTCAGAAAACTGGAGACTTGCAGAACATTCGAGCCTCCAACAGGCTTAATGGGAAGAACTACCTCATATGGACCCAAATTGTTCGCACATACCTAAAGGGCAAGGGGAGACTTAATCACCTGCTTGGAAAGGGGCCAGAAACGAAGGATATAGCCTTTGAAGCATGGGATGAGGAAGACTCCATGATTATGTCCTGGCTATGGGACTCCATGGAACCAACGATCAGTGACACATGTATATTCTTGACTAATGCAAAGCAAATTTGGGATTATATTCACCGCACATATTCGAAGGCTCGTGATGATGCTCAAGTGTACGAGATTAAGATCAAAACTGGAGCCACTAAACAAGGAGACAAATCTGTCACGGAATATGCAAACCTATTGCAAAATCTGTGGCAAGAACTGGACCACTACCGAGTGATAGAGATGAAGTGTCCTGAGGATGCTACCATTTTGAAGAACTTCATTGAAAGAGATCGGATATACGATTTCTTGGCTGGATTGAATCCATAATTCGATCAGGTTAGGGTTCAAATCATTGGCAAGGGAAACACACTATCTCTAGAAGAGACAATCTCACTGATCCGAGCGGAAGAAAGCCGAAGGAGTATTATACTTGAACAACCAACCATGGACCGGTCAGCCTTAGTAGCAAAAACAGATCACCAAGAAGGAAAGGGTGATCCGCCTAAACACCTAGGTAGAGAAAATCAGTGGAAGGAGAACAAGGACAATCTCTGGTGCAACCCAAAACTGAGGAAAATTCAACAACCGGGGGGGTTCAACAAGGACGAAATTGAGAAATTGAGGAGCTTGTTGGGATCACTTGATAAGCCTTCAGGGACCTGTTCTTTAGCTCTTTCAGGTAAACATTCCATTCTATTTTGCATGAATGCCTCAGAAACATTCTATGTTAACTCTTGGATAATAGACTCAGGTGCCACAGACCATATGACTCCCACATCTCAACTCTTCCACACCTACACCCCATGCCCGAGTAACAGAAAAATTATAGTGGCTAATGGTTCTTTAGCCACTGTTGCAGGGACCAGAGATATCCATATCACACCTACCCTTACCCTTAAAAATGTCCTCCATGTACCAAAACTGTCGGCCAGCCTTGTGTCCATTCAAAAACTTATCAATGATCTTAAATGCTATGCTACTTTTTTCCTTTATGTGTTTTTCAGGATCAAGGCTCGGGGAGGAGGATTGGACTTGCTAAGGAAAGGAGCGGCCTTTATCATCTTGAATCATCTTAGAAAATTAGGAGCAATTTGTCTCTGTCTTTTCTTAGTTCCTCAAATAAGGATGCCATTTGGCTGTATCACCTACGCCTAGGTCATCCATCTTTTAGGATTTTAAAAGTCATGTTTCCTCATTTATTTCAAGGATTAGATATTTCTGAGTTTCATTGTGATGTTTGTGAACTGGTAAAACATACTCGTGTATCTTTTCCTATTAGCAATAAAAGAAGTTCTCATCCTTTTCATTTGATCCATAGTGACATATGGGGTCCTTCTACTATACCTTCTGGGCCTCGTCGGTTTGTATCTTTGATTGATGATTGTACTTGGGTTACATGGCTCTTCCTTCGAAAACAAAAATCTGATGTGAGTATTGTTATACCTAATTTCCACTCAATGGTTTAAAACCAGTTTGGGGTTAAAATAAAAAGCTTTAGGACTAACAATACTAGAGACTACTTCAATCAAATTTTGTCACCCTACTTTCAATCACAAGGCATTATTCATGATTCATCCCATGTTAACACACCCCAACAAAATGGAGTAGCTGGGAGGAAAAATGAGCATTTACTAAACACCACCCGAGCTTTACTCTTTCAAGGGAATGTTCCTAAGTCCTATTGGGGAGGCAGTTCTTACAGCCACATACATGATTAATAGACTTCCCTCACGTGTGTTAGACAACAAGAGTCCCATAGAAATCCTCAATGCTTTCTATCCTCACTTTAGAACCTCAAATGGTCTCACACCACGAGTCTTGGGATGCACTGCCTTTGTCCATGTCCACAGCCAACATAGAGGCAAGCTAGATCCCCGAGCCACCAAATGTGTCTTCCTTGGTTACTCATCCACTCAAAAGGGGTACAAGTGTTACAACCCTTCATCTAGAAAATTCCACATCTCTGCCGATGTCACTTTCACAAAAAATAAACCTTTTTTCTCCAAGTCCCCTCTTCAGGGGGAGATTCCAATAATGGAAGATAGTCCTTGTGAGTCATTTGAACCCCTAAACACTCTTGATCTTCCTCAAGTTCCAGCTCGTGTTGTTGAACCAGAGTCCTCTGAGCCAACCACTTCTGAGTCACCCCATTCTGCCACTGAACCCGTGTCACCTCCTGTCCCAGCCAGTGTCACTCACAATTTTCCAAGGTTCTCTCAAGTGTATTCAAGGAGAAAGGCTACTCCAGAACTGCCGAAGTCCAAGAATCCAACTCAGGCTTTGGGAATGAAATCACGGTAAGATCTAATCCACCCTTACACACACAACTGGTTGAAACATCCACTGATCCAACAGATGACCTCAACCTTCCTATTGCCATCAGAAAAGGTCCCTGAGAGTGTACTAAACATCCAATCTATCCACTATCTCACTATGTCTCTCTTAAGTGCATGTCACCAGCCCACAAAAAGTTAATTGTAAGTTTAAACACCATTGCTATCCCTAATACTGTTTCTGAGGCATTGTCAAAAAGGGAATGAAGGGAGGCTATGAGAGAGGAGATGAGTGCATTAGAAAAGAATAGAACATGGGAGATTGTTGATAGACCAAGAGGGAAGAATGTTGTTGATTGCAAGTGGATTTTCACACTGAAATACAAGGCTGATGGATCACTGGAGAGATATAAAGCAAGATTGGTGGCCAAGGGATACACTCAAACTTATGGAGTGGATTATTAGGAGACTTTCGCTCCAGTCGCAAAAATAAATACTGTGAGAATTTTGCTATCATTGGCGGCTCATTTCAATTGGCAGCTACTACAGTATGATGTCAAGAATGCATTTCTTCATGGTGACTTAGATGAAGAAATCTACATGAATATTCCACCGGGATTTGAGAGGGACACAAGTAACAAAGTGTGCAAGCTGAGAAAGGCCCTTTAAGGGTTAAAGCAATCTCCGAAAGCATGGTTTGGGAGATTTACAAGAGTGATGAAGGAGTCTGGTTATGAACAAAGTCAAGATGACCACACTCTCTTCATTAAGCATTCGGCTACTGGGGGAGTGACTGCTCTTCTAGTCTATGTGGAAGACATCATAGTGACTGGCAATGATGAAAGAGAGAAGCATGAATTGAAGCAAAGATTAGTAAGAGAGTTCGAGATAAAGGAGCTGGGGAAACTGAAGTACTTCCTCGGTATTGAGGTGGCATATTCCACACAAGGGATCTTCATATCTCAGCAAAAGTACTTGACTGATCTATTAGCAGAAACAGGGAAGATTGGGTGTAAGCCAGTCTCTACTCCAATGGATTTGAACCATAAGTTGGGAGAAGCTGAAGAAGAACCAATTGTCGATAAAAGAATGTACCAGAGATTAGTTGGTAGACTCATATTCTGAGCGTGATCAGAAGAGAACCTCATCTTCAAGCTGCTCACACTCGGCCAGACATAGCATACTCTGAGCGTGATCAGTCAATTCATGCATGACCCAAGAGAACCTCATCTTCAAGCTGCTTACAGGGTACTACATTACTTGAAAGGCAATCCAGGGAAAGGAATTTTGTTCAAAAGGAACAATACCCTTACTCTAGAAGCTTACACTGACGCTGACTATGCAGGTTCCCTGGTAGATAGAAGATCAACTACAGGGTGTTGTACTTTTCTTGGAGGCAATTTGGTAACATGGCGAAGCAAGAAGCAGAACGTGGTGGCAAGGTCATCTACAGAGTCAGAATTCAGGGCCATTGCTCAAGGATTGTGCGAACTACTTTGGCTAAAGATTATTCTAGATGATCTGAGAATCAAATGGGAAGGTCCTATGAAGCTCTATTGTGACAACAAGTCAGCCATCAATATTGCTCATAATCCTATACAACATGATAGGACAGCATATTGAAATTGATCGACATTTTATCAAAGAAAAATTGGAGGAAGGATTAGTGTGTATGTCCTATGTTCCATCAGGACGACAATTAGCTGATGTTCTAACAAAGGGGCTGAACAGTTTGAGTTTCCATGATCTTGTATTCAAGCTGGGAATGGAAGATATCTATTCCTCAGCTTGAGGGGGAGTGTTGATGTATAAATGAGTTGTAAATAGATTAGGAGAATTAGTTAGAAATCCCTTGATTTCAGGGATTCGGATTAGGCAGTTTCCTGATTTAGGAATTATTTAGTTTCCTATTCTTTCTCCTGTAAATTGCTATATAATACCGTGTAACATGATTATTCATAATAACAGAAAATCAGAGTTCTTTTCTGTGACAGTATCGAATGGCTTTGTTTTATATTTAGAATACTAACTTGTCTCCGAAATCGGAATGCGCTTGTCTCAGGTGTTGGAGGTTATTCATGATCAAACTTTGGAATCATGGTCTTCTTGATGCCTGCACTATGAACAGTTGTAATATAATTCTTGAGGGATTCAGGGATAATGCACCAGATGGAACAACAAGTTAGATGAAACGAAGTATGTTTACTCTTTCATTTTGCTTCTTTTCTCTACTCTTGATTTTTCTTTTTTCCCATTTAGAAGAGAAAATCATTGAGCTAGATATGGAGCTGGAACATTTTTCTTAACAAAACTAGAGAAAACGAATGGGGTTCTTCGTTTCAATGCTGTATTTAGATTAAATTAGGGCCTCAAAACTATTTAGTTCAAATTAGTAAAAATTTGGTAGGATTATAATAAGGAACTTCCGGGTCTTAACCATTGTATGATTCATGTGTTAAAGCTGAGCGCTGTTCTATAGCATTCAATCCCATTGTTTGTTATGTACAATTTCTTTCTTGTGGATTATAGATATGTATTACCTGTACATATTTATTTCATGTGAACGTATCTATTTGTAATGTGTTTGTATACATATACATACATATATATATATATATATCTATCTATCTTATGCGCTTTTGGCCGTAGAAGACATGATTTTGTTTTCCGCCTGTTCTCGAGCATTCTTTTGTTAAACCAAAATGACAATAATAATAGATATTATAAACAAATAACATAGGCGAAAAGGAAATTTTTTTTTTTAAATGAAAAGGAAAATATTTTGTAAGCAAGTGTGTTTTGGTAGGGTACGAAAAAATACCATATTAGTAGGACATGTTTTAGTGTAAGATCTTCATCAAGTTTAGTTAAGTTTTCACACTTTATTTAATTTGATATGATTTTGATTTAATGAATGAACAACTAGAAACAACCAAAATTGAGCCTCACCCTTGGTTATGGCATGAATTCTTCCCATCTAAAGTCTCAGCTGGGTGGGAAATTGGAATGCCATGCAATAAAAGAATAAAAGTTTGATTATTTTTTTGAAATGGACAACTTATTGCTACCTTAATTTTCTCTAATATATATTCATCAAACTATACTTTCTATTTAGAATACCTATAACTGTAGAAAAGTTAAATCAAAATCCATTTATGCAGTTTTCTGCACTTACTCATAAATGACAGGACACCACTAAATACCACTATAAAAACACTCAAGACTCCAAACAACAAACCATAGATTTCATCCCTACAAGCAAGATTTAAATTCATATATCAATCATAACAAAGAAGCAAACGAAAGGAGGAAATTAAAAATTAAAATAAAAACCCACAAGTCAAAAATCCATAAACATAAATAAAAACTACTCGGCAGAGTACAGAACAACAGAAAAAACTTACAAATCCAAACTTTTGGGTGTATCACCCAATTTGACTGTGGTCCCACCAAATGGTCTCTGAGTTCATCAGAAAGCAAATTGAAATTGAACAATGTATTTTATTTGTCTTGAGCAAATTAAGGAAAGAAAAAAAGCAAATAAGATGAAGCGAAGGTCCGAAATAAGAATGGATTTGGTCCATCGGAACTTTGCAGCAACAACTGACTCCAACCTGATCACACTACATCCTTACCCTCATCCTCTTTTAGAGGCAGTAGGTTTAAATCAAATAACGGAATTCCTTTGGTGCTACTCGTTGGAGCCACTCCATTTGTGTCATTGTCATCATTAACTTGCTCGGTTTCCGTAGCTAAGCACAAAAAAAAAAAAAGAAAAAAAAAGATTTGGTAAGGTCCGTAATGTAAAAGTGATCATAGACCAACACCTGCCTAACAGTAAATCAACACTGGTCTCAAATGATGAGGTTTTGTGTTCAAATCCTCGACCCAAAATTCATGGAAAAAAAAAACATAGACTAACCGAAAAACTATAAAAGAGACTTAATTTAAAACCTAGAACAATCAAGAGAGAGAGAGAGAGAGAGAGAGAGAGAGAGAGAGAGACCTGCAGCATCTGAGAGAAGGGCTTTGTATAGTTTGACAGCTTTAGGGAACATCAACATGTTGGAGTGAATCACATCTTTCTCCAAGGATTTGGGGATGGTTGAGAAATTGAACTTGTTTATCCACATTGCCACAGCCTCTTCAGAAGATGGAATGACCAGATTTTCCACCCTCAAATAACACAGGGCCTGAAAAGTATTATTAGCTTGATCACACCAACGACACAATAACACAGAAGGAAAAACTACATTTTCCTAAGACTAAGAAAATAAAATATCATAGAGATATCATTTGATAAATTCAACAGCTTACAGATTCAACTGCAACCAGTAGTTTACTCAGCATCCCTCTCTTCCTGTACCTCCTGTGCGTTGCTACAAAGGGCATCTCTGCCATTTTTGTTCCATGTAACCTGTTGAAACACGCGTAATCCCGAAGGGTGTTACATAATGAAGGTTTCTGAAACGTCTTATGTCTTTCAGATTCTGTTATATTTGTATAGAAGGATGGTAATTTTACCTTTACATTTGTTTATTTACATGGACTTGTATTAAATGAGGTGAGTTATGCTTAGTCTGATCAGATTTATGGCTAGTAAAAACAGGTTAGAAAGTTAAACCTGTGGCGATCTATATAGGATAGGGCGGGTTTAGGGTGCCTTGACCTTATTACTCGATTATCTGTCCGTTCAATTAGATGTTACTTTAAATACATTACGTGTAATGTTATAATATACATATAATATGTGAAAAATTGAAAACTCTTGTTTTTGTTCTTTTACTATTGAACTCAAAAGTATTTTGTATTTTTTTTTAATAACTGACCAGATAAATGAGGTACCTGTAAGTACTTGAAACTCATGATGGGGTAATCCGTTACCGTCCCATCAACTTTAATGGATGGCCAGGTAATTAAGAGTGTTTTTCCTATAACTATATATGCCTTTTCCGGTGTATAATATTGTTAGTCAAACGTAATGATTAAAAAAAACATTTACCTCAGAGATGCAGCACAGATTACTTCATCATTCTCCTCCAAGATTGCAGTATAAAACCCTTTGAAGTCGAGCCTAGTATAATTTGATCTGAAAATATCATATATGTTACCTTTGAAGTAACTATGGTAAATCATAGGAGAAAACTAGCTAGTGAAAGGATCTGAAAGAGAAGATGTATATATATCTATTCTTGCATACTAAGTGCGAATAAATTTCACATAGGATATTGCGAAACGTTTCGCATAGGAGGCGGAATGTGCGAAACGCCCCACAAGCTTAAATGGTTTTATTTTATTTTATACTTTTTGGCTCTTTTTTATTTTTTAGGCTTTTTTTATTTTATTTATTTTTCATATCTGTTGCTCTTTATTTCTTTTTATCCTTTTTTTTCTTCTCTCTTTTTCTTTCTTTTTTTTTTCTCTCAGCAATTTGTATAATTATTGTTTTAAATAAGTCATTTGGCGCGCTGTTTTGACTAGCATATATTCAATTCAAAGAGGTAATTACCTAGCATTGTAGATAACATGTTGAACCACATTGGTTTTGGTGTGACCATCAACAATAGTCTTAAAACACTGATCCATCATGTTCCATGCCACTGCTATCTTGCAGTTGTGTTGGAGCATCTGGTAGGGATTTCCTTTTTCATCTGATAATGGACGATCATGATGGAGCAGTGTCCAGGAGAATCCTCCATCCAATTCATTTTGCACGCCCACCATTTTCTGCAGTTTTTCATGAACCTTTTGCACGAACAACTTCTACGTTAGATTTTTTCCCCCCCCCCCAAAACCATATAGAATATATGAATGCATTAAATTGATTGTTGCTTCTTCATTTTCATTACAAGTTCTTAACAAGTTGGTTAAGGGCCCCTGCAATGACGGAGCCAACTTTAAATTTAGTGAGGACACAAATAAAAAGAAAGCATAATATAAAACTTGAAAAAAAGATAAATAGTATGTTGGATTTTTTCCCTTTAACTTCGGTAACCAAGAGAAGATTTTGCACAGAATGTGGTCCACATTCCTTCATCAATTAGAAACGTGTTTAACCATGTTCAGAATCACGACCCTTTGGATGCCCACGTCTCGTGCACGTCCAAGAAATACGCTGTGATGGGCAGAGTGTATAAAGGGAACAATGCATACACGGTTTAGTCCCTTAAGCCTGCAGTCTCTTTTAGTTGTCAAAATACACCATCAAACAGAGATTGAGTGAGGTTTAGAAGAACCTTAACCGGATTTCTCCTTTATTGACTGAGAACATCAATGGCCTGAGGTGCTCTTCGTTATGTTTCTTTTAATTCTGCATTTGATCTAATTGTTATTTAGGATTGTTAGGAGCATGTTTATATCATTAAGAAATTCCAACATTTGGTATCAGAGTCTTTGTTTGCCTATGCCTTGTTTTTTCTTTTCTTCGTTCTGTCAAAATATCGTAAGAGGAAAATTTTAGAGATTATGATTTAGACGTTTATGATGGAAACTGAGATTAGGAATCATTAGGAAATCAAATTTCTATCAATTCTGAGTTTTAAACACAATTTTGGTCGTCAGAATTGAGAGAAAAAGTCAGGTTTCATTTCGGGTTGAAAATGACCTGGCTGGATGTTGAAGACGATTCAGCAGTGCAGAAAAAACGACATGTTGTTTTTCCTTTTAGCTTATAAAACGACATATCATTTTCTGTTGAAGACATGCGCATACAACTGCCAAAACGACATGTCGTTTTCATTTGGCTAGGAAAACGACACATCATTTTCAGTTAAAGAAAATCAGAAACAACATGAAGAAACTACATGTCGTTTTGCCTTTTGGCTTATAAAACGACATGTTTTCTGTTGAAGGCGTGGGCAGGCCACTGTCAAAATGACATGCCGTTTTTATTTGGCTAGGAAAATGACACGTCGTTTTCAGTTAAAGAAAGGCGCAAGCATTAGGGGGAAACTACATGTCATTTTGCCTTTTGGTTTATAAAATGGCATGTCGTTTTGAATGTAGAAAAGCTGCTGTCATTTTAGAAAAACGACGTGCCATTTTTCATTGAGAACATTAAAATGACTTGTTGTTTCTTATAAGCTTTTGCATCATATCACCAAACGACTTATCGTTTGATGAAGTTAAAAAAAAATCAGAAATTAAGTATATATGGGTATTTTGTAGATGTTCGCCCATTTTATGATTTTTATGGAATTTTCATGAATTAGGTATCTAAATGAAAGGTTCATTAATTTTAATGACTTTTAATGATTTTAATTTTGGATAATTATGTGCTTATATTATTTATTTCATGTATAATTTATTGTTTTAATTATACATGCAGTATTAGATTGAATAATATTGGTACATTAGTATTCAAATATTTTAGGTTAATATTGCATATAGTTTCATGCAGTTAAATATGAACCTTTATTATGATTTATTAATGTTAAGTGGTCCATATAATATTAATTAATTAGAGAGTAGCCATAACATCTTTAATTATTTAAAATTATATATTAAGTGTTTCAGGATTAC